TTTTAAACAGAACATTGGGGGGAAGCCGACAGGAGATGAAAAGTCTCTGGTTCGGATTGGCTCATCTCAGAGAGATGAGGGGGTACCTGTTGCTTTTCTCTCATTCCACTGACATTCCTGAGTGTTGCAGAGGACTCTAGGAAGAGGCATCTTTAAAAGCTTTCTGGGAGCCCAGGCCAACATGAGAGGAGAAAGGCGACAGATACACACTATTGATGCTGAGCTTCTCAGCTTCCCGTGCAAAGTAACAATGGAGTTCACTGGGCTTGGCAGGCCCCTTCCCACCCACAGGGCCTCAATGTGCCCCCCTCTTTAAGGATCCTGCAAGTTTGGCCGTATACTGGCAGACCTCAATTTGCCATTATAACTGAACTAAGCTTATACATTCCACACACCTTGAAAATTCATGGAATCCTGCAGATTGATGTCGACACCATCTGTTTTATTGGCATAGCTTCCCCCCCCTCCACCTGCAGATGCAGGGCTTCGAAAAACATGCAAAAGATGAGTTAGGGTCGGTCCTGTGGATATGACACCCCCAGCTGCCTACGGACTTCGTCCAGGATGGAGTGGACCAGCTCACTGTCTGCGTGAGACATGACGGGGCTCTCCTTCAAGCCTGTGGGAGGGGGACGAGAGAGCAGAGTCGAGGTCAAGCCGTGAGTGGATCAAAAGTCCGAGCGGCCACACAGCCTTGCCCACCCGCTTGGCACTCTGATGCCGTGAACTTCCCCTCCCAGCAGCCTCTGGGATATTTACCTTGGAGGAGACATTGCCGGACATGTTCTGCTTCATAACGCAGCCCTGTGGTGTTGGGGAAGTACAGTTTTTGGGAGGGAGAGGGAAGGGGGCATTCTTCACTCTTCCCATTGACAACCAGCTGTACTGGGCTCCAGAAGGTACTCGGAATCTACAGGCACAGGAGAACAAGTAGGAAACCAAGACAAGTTTCAGAACTCTATCGTTTCGACTTTCCACCAAGAGCAGCCTCTACTCCAGGATTCTCGTTCTGATCAAAGCCCACTGCTCCTCTCTCCAAGATGACAGCAGTAAGCAGGCAGACACATCCTTATTGGAGAGAACGTACCTCAATGATCCCTTTGGTGCCACTGATGCTTGCTTGGTTGGGCAGCTTGGTAGTCACAGTGTAGGTGAGGACAGCTTGGCGGCTGCCTGAGAAGTTCAGGATGATAGAGCCCGTTTTGTCTACGCCTGGCAGGGAGGGATATGTAGTCAACAATGGCAGCAGGGCCCCAAGTCCTTATATGTACATTGTCCCCCTACTCCCAGGAAAAACTTTCACTCTCCTGTCTATATAGCCTGTCAATATAGCCACTATGTTGACCCATACCTCAGATCACTAGCAAGGGTTGACAGGACATTGTGGTTTTAACAGAGGCCTCACTGGCAGAAATTCAACAACTGGATAGAAAGAAATGGAGGAAAGCTGGGGAGGGGTGTCAAGTGAATAAGCTGTCTCCGGGTAAAATTTCAGCTGTTCTCTCCCCCCCCCCCCGTTTCCCGCTCAGTGAACAACAGTTATCAGCAGGGCAGCCATGTTGGTCTGAAGCTCATTGTGTCTGAAGAAGGGTATGTGCACGTGACAAGTACATACCTTGAATAAAACTCTGTTGGGCTTAAAGGTGCCACCGGACTCAAACTTTGTTCAACAGTTATCAGTAACTGATGAGAGCAGCCCCCACTGGCCATTGCCAGTTCAGGGTCTCTTTGCAGGCATCCAATTAACTTGCTGGTTTCAACTGGAACTGTTGGGTGTAGGAAAGTTTGCTCATCTTCCAGAAAGTTCTCCTGTAGCAGTGTCCTGATTGATTGCAGGTGGTCAGAAGATCATTGGCCTAAATTTCCTATAAATGTAGGCTATTCTGATAGGCCTTATCTCTTAACTTACCTGCTATGTTTGCCTCTGCTGGCTTATTTTGCTGTTACATCTATTTTGGATTATGCATCTTGCTTAGAATTGAATTTCCCGTCACCTCAAGAATTTAGCATCTACGCCAGGAGTCCCCATCCTTTTTGAGTCTGCGGGTACCTTTGGAATTCTGACACAGGGTGGCGTATGCAACCGCAAAATGGCTGCTGCAGGAGGCGGAGCCAGCCATGGAATGTGAGGGAGCAAGATTGCGCATAACTCTACCCATAACTTAGGGCTGCCAAATGCAGCCGGGGGGCGGGGATTCCCCCGCTTCGGAGCCCCGATTTCCGGCGCGCCGGAATCGGGGCCCGGGGGAAACCGGAAGTGACGTCGCACGCTGGGGGCGGGGCCACGCCGTTTGAGGGGAAAACAAAGAGCGCGCATACAAACACAGCTCCCGGACCAGCAGGAAGAACCCCTGCCGGTAGGAAAATTTTTTTTGGCAACCCTACGCATAACTCAAAACTCAAAAGTTTGAGTCCAGTGTAAGGTTACCAACCTCCAGGCGGTGGCTGGAGATCTATTACAACTGATCTCCAGGGAACAGAAATCCATTCACCTGGAGAAGATTGCCACTCTGGCAGGTGGACTCTAATGTAGTATACCCTGCTGAAGTCCCTCCCCTTCCCAAATCCCGCTCCATCCCCAAAATCTCCAGGTATTTCCCAACCCCGAGCTGGCAACCCTAGCCCAGTGGCACTTTTAAGACCAACAAAGTTTTATTGAATGTATGAGCTTTCATGTGCACACATACTTCCTCAGATATAAACAGGGCTATTTTTGGGCAGGAACTCACAGGAACGGAGTTCCGGCTGGCTTCAGAGTTGGCCACGCCCACTACAGCCAGTGTGGATACAGAGGGAAGGCCTGGAGAGCGACCTCCCCCCGGCGACTCCGAGGCAGGTGGGCCAGGAGAGCCCTGGAAGGATCGTGGAGGCATTTAAATGCCTCCCCATGCCTTCCCCGGCCTGTCCAAGGGCTGGCTTACCCGAGCTCTCCGCAGCCACAGGGTGCCCGGGCAAGCCAAAGGGAAGGCATGGGTGTGGCCTACTATGCTAAAGAACTGCGCTGTCAGGGGTGTGGCCTACTATGCTAATGGATTTCTGCTGTCAGGTGTGGCCTATTATGCTAATTAGTTCCTGCTGGGCTTTTTCTACAAAAGAAGCCCTGGATATAAATATAGAGGAAGTGTGCCTGCACACAAAAGCTCATACACTGAATAAAACTTGGTTGGCCCTAAAGGTGCCACCGGACTCAAACTTTGTTCTGCTGCTTCAGACCAACGTTGCTGTCCACCTGAATCTATCTAACAATAACTCTTCAACGTTTCTGGCAGAATGTCTGCTTGACAGGATGCCTTTTTAAATTGAGTGTATGGTTTAAAAATATTCTCTTGCCTACACAAAGTACACCTATTGAGTAGGGTTGCCAGGTCCCCTCTGGCCACTGGCAAGGGATGGAGGATGTAGGGTTGCCAGATCCAGGTTGGGAAATTCCTGGAGATTTGGGAACAGAGCCTGCAGAGGACAGGGACCTCAGTGGGGTACCTACACTGCCACGGAGTCCGCCCTCCAGAGCATGTAATTTCTCCAGGGAAACTGATCTCTGTTGTCTGGAGATGAGCTGTAATTCCAGATCTCCAGGTCTCACCCGTAGGCAGGCGGCCCTAATACTGAGCTAGTTAGAAACCCTCATCTGGCAGTATCTGCCTGCGGTTTTAGGCATCTGTCCTACTTATCCCCTTTAGAGGAGCTGCGGAAAAGCCCCACCCGGCCCCACCCACTTCTAGAAACCCATAGTGGGCTCCAGGAAGGGTGTCAGTAGACGCCAATGTGCCCAGGGGCTCCAGGTTTGGAATCCCTGATCTATGCTGTAAGGACCTTCAGTAAGTGTGTTTAGGACGTTAGCTTTCTTGTTCTTATGTGCTTGAACCTTCGCTGGAACTGTATTGTTCTTACAAAGTTTGAGTCCCGTGGCGCCTTTAGGACCAACAAAGTTTTATTCAAGGTGTGGAGAAACGCCATTTTATGCCTATGTTTAAGTTGGTGTGGGCCAGATAGGAGGGGACTATCAAACCTGAGGTAGGCCTTGGCCTAGTGTCCTCCTCATTCTCCCCCCACTCCTGTCTCCAACCAGCAGTCAGAGGGCAGCTCCCTAGAGAGGACAGGAAGTCCATCAAGGCTGTGAGGAGATCTGCCCCAGAATGCTGCAGGGGGGGGAGAGCCACTTCCTGGGCGGGAAGGGCTGTTTGATACAGTGGAGCTTTTGGGCAGGAAGCCGTCTATGAGAATTGAGGTCGGTCTGCCTGAAGTCTGGAGCCAGTCAGGCTGTCGGCTGGAGTCTGCAGGAGGCAGAGGCCATGTTGGGAGTGGTGCTAATCTAACTTCCTCCAGTGAAAGCAAGTCATGCGCCTGCCCTGCAGACCATCTAAGACAGGGTATGTGTAGTGAAGGGAGAGATGGAGCGATTTATTATTCACCTTTATTTTGATTCTTCAGTTCACTGTTACTATGCCTGTATATAGTTGAGTGGTTTCAAAATAAATCCTTTTACTGTTTGCATTGAGAAGTCCCTCTGTACCGCATAGTTCCCCCAGCTGCTTGGACACGCTAGGAGTTGGTTGGGGACTCTCGGAGGAGGAGAACAAGGGCAAAACGGCCAGTTACCAACTCTCCAGGGGAGCCCCAAAGATTGCCAGGAAGCCCCGAGGTGGGTTCCTAGCGACATCAGAGGGAGGTTAGGAGGCTGTCCCGCCTAACCAGAGCCCAAGACAGGGACAGTGGTGGCAGCAATACCCAGAGGCAGTGGTGAAAAACTGCCCCTTCAGGTGCCAGGGCAGGCAAAGGAGGGGTGGGCAGAGCGGGGCCTGCCAGCTGATGCGGGCCCGTTCCGCCACACAAGGTATAAACTTTTGTGTGCAAAGCAGACTTCTTCAGATACAATGAAACAAGACTTCCTCAACCATTACATATTGGTGGGAGGGTAGTTGCAACTTGCCAGGAAGGGCTGTCCCTCCCTATGCATAGGGTTAGTACCCCGTCCACCAAACAAAACCTCCATGTTCAGAGGGGAGATCTGCAGCCGTCACTCCCTTCTTAAGGGCTTCCCAGAGTCAGCTGTCTGGCCCCTGTCGGAAATGGGATGCTGGACCCTTGTTTGGATCTGGCAGCAATCGTGGTAAGTCCTCCTGTTCATTTATTTAGTTCATTTATACCCCACCTTCCTTCCCAAAGGGGACCCAAAGCAGTTAGGTAGGTTAGGCTGAGAGAGAAAGAGAGAGAGAGTAACTGGCCCCAAGGTCATCCAGCAAGCTTCATTGCAGAGTATGGATTCAAACCTGGGTGTTCCAGATCCTAGTGCAAAAATAACCACTCCACCGTGTCAGCTGGCCAATCATGTTCCTTTTCCACCTTTTCTGTCTTCTCCTGACCATTGCATCGCCCACACTTTTTCTGCTACTGCAAAGTCATCTTTGCAAGATGTCTTAAATTTCACTGAAGCTTAAATATGCAGTTTGCAATAAATAATTCTTTTTGGAGCACCAAGCCACACTCCTGGGGTTTGGCTATCCTTCCAGAAACCCCCATGGATGCAACCCTCCCCCAAACACACGCCCCATGACTGACCTGTATCATGCAGGAAACCAGAGGCCACAATGGACTCAGGCTTCTCTCCTTCAAAGACCATGCAGGCGAACTGGACACAATAGAGGCCGATATCCAGCAGGCCACCTCCTCCCAGCTCTTTCTCTGTAGTCCTGGGGACTGTTATCAGAGGCAAGCCAAAATCAGCGTGAACCATCACCACGTCCCCAATGGTCCTTTGCCTCAGCAGGGAGCGAAGCTTCTCTGAAAGAGGGAAAAAACGGCTCCAGAAGGCCTACAGTAGGAGAAAGTTATCCAAGACGTTGCATCTGGATTTACATGTCTTTGGAGGCAGAATTCTTACCGTATTTGACCATATGAACCTCACTAGCCATTGATGGTCATTACAATGTCATAGAAGGATTTGAGGAGTCTCGAGTTCCACTTCTCTGCTGCCGAGGCAGGCTCACTGGGTGCCCTTGGGCTAGCACTAGTCCCTTTCTCTCAGCCAATCCTACCTCATAGGATGGTTGTTGTGTGGATTTTCATTCATTCATTCAGTTTGTATCCCACCTTACCCTGCAAGTGGGCTCAGGGCGGCTTACAACATTCAGTTAAACAATAACTGATCATTCAGCAATAAATAATAAAACACCAAAAGAACAGTTGATTGATGTCAAAATTCCTGATGGCAGCTTAATAATTTCTAATGACAGTGCCGGCTGCACTAATGCTAGGAAAGGCACATTTCTCTTACAGAGACCCAAGTCAGCTGGTGCTGGTGCCAAGTTGGTAAAGGCAGTGCCCTAAAGCAGGAAGGCAAAGTGGGCAGATGAACCAAGCGAGGCAGGGAAGGCCAGTGTCATTTGGACATCCACCACCTCAGCCAAAGGCCTGGCGGAACAGCTCCATTTTGCAGAGCCTGTGGATTGTAATAAATCCTGCAGGGGAGACCAATGTTGTAAACCACTTTGGATCCCCACTTTGGTGATTAGCAGAATACAATAAACATATGAATAAATGTTTCCTGGGTGGCCACTAAGTGCAGAGAGGAGATCTTCTAGAGGCCTTGCCAGGTAGTCCCAGCTTTGAACGTTAGGAGGTACTACAGCCTCTTACGTTACCTCCATGAGGAACACTCCCTTTTCTCGGGCTGCCTGCACCATCGCCTTGACTTCTGCAGAGTTCATGCCCAAGGGCTTCTCACAGAGCACATTCTTCCCAGCCTGGATGAAGAGGAAGGTGGACGGGAGATGATATGGATGGATCACCGCCACGTACACCACGTCTGTAGAAGGGAAGGCATCCAAGAGAAGTGCAGAGTTAGGAAAAGAAAATGCCTAATTCAGAAGTTTCAGAATAGCCCCATCCTCTCTGTGTTCCCACTCACCCTACAAGCTTTCCTCTCCTACCACCTTTCCTCCAATACTTCCGGTATTGTAGTACCAGGCAAGATTACCCTCCCTAAGGCTTGGTTTTTTAAATTATTTTTAAGATGATTTGTGTGCTTCCTTTCTTGCCTATTAGGTCCCTCAGGGCAGCAAACAATTTGAAATACATTAAAATCAACATTTTAAAAACAATACATATATTTTAAACCCATTATATCCACACAACAAGGCTTTGAGGTAGGTCAGGCTGAGAAAGGGCAACTAGCCAGAAGCTACCAGTGAGTTTAGGCTTGAGGGCAGATTTGAAGCAGACCATCTCTCATCCCAATCCAACATGCTAACCACTAGGCCACCCTAGCTCCCCCTTGCATGCAGAAGGGTCCTAGGTACAGTCTCTGGTACCCCTGACGAAAAGGACCTCTAGTAGCAGGCTTGGGAATGACCCCTGTCTAAGGAGTTAAAAAGCTGCCCTGTTAGTGAGAGTGAAATGAAAGGGCATTTTTTGCATGCCCACCCTGCAACACGGCCATCTATGTTCCCTTGCCAAGCCCCCCCCCCGCCCCGGTGTTTAGACGAAAGTTGCTCACCGACATCTGGATCCTGAGCCAGTTCTGCATAAGACCCATAGGCCTTGGGGATGTTGTATGTCTGGGCATATTTCTGTGCCCGGCTGAGTTCACGAGAAGCGATGGCCACCACCTTGGGACAGAGAAATAACCTGGGTGGGATTCCACCTTCACCTACCACTGTAACCTTAGGGCAAAAGACCTCTAGTGTTTTGGGGTTTCTCCCACTCCCCCCCCCCCGCTGTACCTAACATCAGTGCTCCCTCTAAGCTGAGTTAGTGTGAGCTAGCTCACTGTTTTTTAGCCTCCGGCTCACACATTTTCGTCTTAGCTCAGGAAGGAGGGCCCTAGAGCAAGCGAATTTATGCCGTAGCCAAATGGCTCGCTCACCAGTTTAATGCCAGTAGCTCACAAAGAATTTTTGCTCACAAGACTCCACAGCTTAGAGGGAGCATCGCCTAACATTACTGCAGAAGTTGCACTTCCAGTTTTTCTGCTGGTGCCCTTGAAAGACCATGCCTTTCCCAGAGGATCTAGCATTCCCGTTTCAGGACTCAGCCCCCCCCCCAAACACTTTGGATTCTAGTTAGACCAACCAGCCCTCCTCTGCTCCCTAAGAATCCTCCACAGGGATCCCAGTTCCCTACCGTGAGCACTAGTTTGAGCTGCTAAAAGTAGTCCAGAACTCATCTGAAGCAAGAGAGATTCCCACTTAGTCCTTTATGGGTGCCCGTCTATTTCCCACCACCTCCATCCTACCTTATGATCCTCGGGTGGCAGAGTCTTCAGGGCCACTAGGAAATCGTGGCTGATCATCCCGGCAGAGCAGATCCCCCAGCGCAAGGGCCCCATCACAGAAGAGAATAGAAAACACTGCCACCTACTCGAAAAATCACAGCTAGACGGAAACGGCAGTCTCTGCTCTGAACTTTGAACTTTCATAGAGGAAGAGAACCGCCAGAGGGCAGTAAAACCTTAGGAATGGAATTATGTATAGTGGGGACACAAATGTGTGACTCCGGGGCCTGAACAAGGGAATACAGAGTTTCCTCCACAGCCCTGTTTTTCAACTGCAAAGGACTGGGGGCTCAAGCCTGCCCACTCACACCCTTCTTCGTACCTACTCTACACATGCTCAGAAGCTGTTTTTGGTATTCCACTACCCAGGGGTTAGGAAAGGCACAAACAGCCTGCATGGTTAACAAACAAAGTAATGGAAGCTGTAAAAAGGATTCCTTTAAGCGGTGGAAAGCTAGTCACAGTGAGGCTGATAAAACGGAACACAGGCTATGGCAAATAAAATGCAAGTCTGTGGTCAAGCAGGCAAAAAGGGAATATGAGGAGCATATAGCGAAAAACGTAAAGACCAACAATAAAACTTTCTTCAAATACATTAGAAGCAGGAAATGGCTGAGAAACTAAATGCATTTTTGCCTCTGTCTTCACCGTGGAAGATGAGAAGTGCTTGCCCACTCCAGAACCGCTGA